GGACGGCTCGATTGACAAGGAGAATGCGCAGCTCGCATCCTCGCACCTGCTCTCCCCCGCCTTGAAGCTGGAGGAGTGTGTCGAGGAGTGTGTCGCCGCGGCCGTCACCGCCACCGCCGCAGCTGCCGCGCCAGCCGGCAGCGGCAGCGGCAGCGGCAGCAGCGCGACACCGGCTGCTACGGCGCCCCCGAGCGAGGCCCCCCTTCTCTCGCCAGCCCAGGCGCAGCACGCTTTTGAGGACCTCGCGGCGCGGCGACTGTCGGCGCTGCCTGCGGATCCGCCGGAGCGCTTTGAGGAGTCTGCCGCTGCTGTCCCTCCCGACTTCGGAGAGCCTGAGGAGGCGGAGGAGGAGGCGACGGAGGTAAAGGAGAACGTGTCACCGCTCGGCGCCGTTGCGGCGGCCAGCGGGGAGCTCACGGCGGAGCTGCGTCCGCGAGTGTTGCGCTTGCTGAGCGAGGACACCGAGGCTGCCAGCGCCGACGTCGCCGACGTCGAAGAGTCCTCCCTTTCCGGAGCCCCCGGCGGAGCTGCGTCCGGAGAGGGGCTGCCGTTCGACGGCGAAGCGGGTCGCCCTACCGAGGGCGCAGAGGCGGGAGACGACCTGGCGGAGGAGGTTCAGGCGGCGGTCGCACTTGCCCACCCCCATTTGCAGCTTGCGCCCTCACGAGTCTGGGCTGAGGTCGACCATCAGCCCGCGCCGCAGCTTGCGCCCTCGGAGGACTTTGAGGTCTTCCGCGACGGGCCGGCCTTGCACAAGACTAGCGAGCAGCTCGTGCTGGCGCTGCAGGAGCGGCTCGATCGCGCGGTGTCCGAGATTGACGCGTTGCGCGCGGCTCTGTTTGAGGAGCGCTCGTTGAGGCAGGCGCTGGAAAGGCGCCACCTTCTCCCTTCCGACTAGGGCGGCTGGCTCCTTACCGTGGGGCTAGGAGAGGGGCAAGCGTTCGTCACGTCTGCCTCTCGCGAGGTCAGGTCACCTCGACACTATGAGTCTACGACAGGTCTCTCGTGTCGAGTGTGTGCAGTCTCGCGCGATGGCGATATGGCACTACCACTCTCACTGCGAGGCGTCGTTGCAGCTTGCACGTCGTGGCGAGGGGGGAGAAATTGCATGAGAGATGAGTCTCGTAGGGCCCTAGGGGGTTGTAGGGGGGTTGTGCGCGGAAGCTCTGCGAGCTCGGCGGGGGCGGCACACAAGACATATACGGTTTTATGTTCTACGCTTCTACCGACACACAAAAACTAGAGAGCTCTCCAGGTCCCGCGCTCCCGGGGACGAAGCCCCCTACGAGGTACCCCTATGAGATGTAGCATGTAGGATCCGCCCAGAGTGCAAAGACGAAAGAGAACAGTTCAGCAGCATCGCGCACACGCTCACACACGCACACTCAGGGCCGCAGCAGTCGGATGCTGTCGCACCGGGGCTGCAACCTTCACGCCTCACCCGCCTACGCCTTGGCGGAGAAGCTGCCAAAGTCCATCTTGAGCGCAATCTTGGGCTTGGCGGCGGTGACAGCGGCACCGGGCGACGCGGCCACCGCGCGTTGCTTCTTCGCCTGCTCCTCCCGGATGGCAACCTCCATCCGCGACCGCGTCTCGGTGGAGAAATTTGCGACAGAAGCGCGGAATGCGTCCGCCGACCGGCTGGCGAGCGCCGTGAGGGCGGCGTGCGCCACCGCCGACAGCTCCGCGCCCACCTTTGATGGCGGCCCGTCCGCGGCGACGCTCATGCCTGCCGGGCGACGCCCGTGGGTGGGAGTGGGTCCGGGCCGAGGCCGGCAACAAGAGCGGTTGGGCACGGGTGGAGAGCGGGCGTGCAGAGGGGTGCACCGTGGATGAGGAGCGGCAGCGTGAGGGAGAAGAGCGCCGGCGCCGCCTCAGCTGAGCTGAGCGTGCACGCGAGCAGGAGCAGCTTGATGGCGCCGAGCCGGTCGCAGCCTACACAAGACCGCCGGGTGTCAAACACGCGTGTGGAGGATGCCGATCGTCAACTGGCAGCGCCGCCCGTCTTAAAGGAGGCTGCGACGTCGGGGAGCAGCTCAGTCAGGTAAAAGTGGAGGAGGTCCGGCTGCTCCTTGATTGCTGCGAGGAAAGCGAGGAGCGCAGCGTGCGCCTCGCCCTGCGTCTCGCTCGCCACCATCTCGCGCGCGGCTGCCGCCACACCCGTATGCACGGCCGTGGCGCCACCGCCCAGAGGTAGCCCCTCCACCAGCGCCAGCACCGCGCGCAACATCAGCCCGCGCGATGCGACAGGCGTGGCCTGCAGCACCTCGAGCGCGCTGGCGGCGGCACTCGTACGGAGCGTTGCCTTTGCGACGGCGAGACCGGAACTTGCCTCCTCCAGCCGCTCATCGGCATCGGCCGGCGCGGCGCACCGCCTGCGCAACGTCGCCACCGAGCTGAGGCACGCCTCGCGCAGCGCAGCCGCCGCCGCCGCACCCGGCGGGTCGGCAACCGGCGGCGACGTCGCAACGGCATGGGTCACGCGCAGCACGACGGTAAACGCGGTGGGCAAATACGGCAATGCCGCGCCGGCTGGAAGCGAATCTGGGAGCGTGGCGATAGCTTCCACTGCAAGCGCCAGGGAGCGCAACTCGCCAACAGGGAGCGGCTGCGGCGGCGGCGGCTGGCAGAGTGAAGCGGGAGCGCGCAAAGCGGGGATGGCGCGCAGAGCTGGCGCAGCGCAAAGTTGTTGCGCAGCGGCGACAAGGCGCGCGGCGTCGGCGGGCGAACGGCCAAGCGGAGGGACGAGGTCGCCCGTGGGGGGCGGGGCCGCGTATCCCCCAAGTCGCGGCGCGAGGTGAGCGGCGACGGCGGCAACGGCATCCCGCATCTGCGGGTGAGGTGACGCCTCGCCCAACCGCGCAAGCAGCGACAGCAACAGCTCGAACGAACCGGGGGGCAACACATCGGGCTGCAAGTAAGCCTCGCTGAGAAGCTGCGGCAATGCGAGCGTGCATGCCGCCGCCTCGTCGTCCCTCGCGTCTGGTGGCGAGCCGTCAGCCGGTCGTCGCTCGGCGGCGGCGGCGAGCGCGTGCGTGCACATGCCAAGCAACAGGTCGAAATCTCGCCGCGCCTCCCCTGCCTCGATAGGAGTAAGTGTCGCCGATGCATGCGGATCTTCGGGCCGAACCTCGCCGCCGCCGCCGCCGCCGCCGCCGCCGCCGCCGCCGCCGCCGCCCCGGCCTGCAACCCACTCTGGCGTGGCAACCATCGAGAGCGCGGCCTACGCAACGTCTCGCGCAAACATGTGAGAAGACGCCGCCCAGCGGCGAACCATGGACGAAAGGGCGGCGCCTCGAAGACTAACGGCGCGGCATGCTCGAGGTGCTCGCGCGAGGCTGTCGCGGCGCCTTGCACGTACAAGTGCGGCACATAGCCCTTCGCGGCGCGGCCTACCGCAGCCGCCGCAGACGTGTCATCCCGCGTCCCGGCGCGGCACCTGCACCTGATCCCTGGCGGCGGTGGCCGGCGATCGAGAGTGCGGCGTGATCGCGCAACAGCCCCATCCAGCATGAACGCAAGTCCACTAGCGACGGCTGCATCTGCTTGCAGAGCTCGGCACGAGCCTATGGATCGGGTGATGCACCGCGTCGTAGACAGCGACGGGAGCAGTCGCATGGTTGAGCGCGGGCAGTGCCTCAGGCTCCCGCGCCGCCGCCGCCTGCAACGCCGCCGCCGCACGCAACGATGTGGTTCGGACCATCGTCGCGGCGGCGTCGGAGAGGGCGGGGTAGGAGATGGCGGCGAGGGCGGCTGGCGTTAGCCGCTTGGTGAGTAGCGCGAGCAACTTGCGGATGGCTGCAGGGTCGACCTGGATCGTGGCAGGGGTGGACATGGGGACGGGGGTTGGGGACGGAGCTGGGATGAGGTGCGTGGGGTGGTGGTGGTGGCGGCGGCAACGGCAGCGGCGGCGGCGGCGGCGGCGGCGGTGGCGGCGTTGGTGGCGTGGTGGTGGATTTGAGTGTGTGTGTGTGGGGGGGGGGTCGACCTGGATGCCGCCGCTAGTGGTCGAGATGGCAAGAAGGTAGCGGGCGAGCAGCGCAGCACCCGAAGCAGTCAGGGACGGGTCCGCCTCGGGGCCGAAGCAAGGGCGCAACGCCGCGCCCAGCTGCGCGTGCGACTGCTCGAGGAGGAGGTGGCCCTGGTAGTCGGGGTCGGGGGCGGCAGCAAAGCGCTCGACCACGTCCAGCAGCATCAGCACGCCGGCGGGGCGCATCGCCTACGGGGACCACAACTCCGGGGATCTGTCACGGATTTGTCCCGCAGCCTCAGCACGCCGGCAGGCACGCGGCGCCTCGATCCGCGAAGTCGCGACGGTGAAAGCGACCGAGACGAGGCGGCCCAAATGCAGGACGAGCCGCTCCCCGCTGCCGCCCTGGCGCTCGGTCTCCTCGCGCGCGAGCGTGAGGTCGTAATGCGCGGAGTGGTCGGCAACGTCGAGGAGACGCCGCACGCACTCGGCGGCGTAGAGACGCGTCTGCCAGCGCGGAGCCACGTGCGCCCACTTCGCGTTCTCCTCCGCCTCGAGCTGCGCCTCCTTCTGCCGCTTGCGATCCTCCTCTTCATCCTCGTCATCGCCACCCACCGTCGGCAGCCCCGACGCGTTCTGATCCCACCCGCTGCCCTCCTCGCCGCCCGCCTCCTCGTCGTCTCCGCGGTTGCTTCCTCGCAGCTCAGCCTCGCTCCGCACCACCTCCTGCACCACATCGCCCAACGTGCGGAGCCAAAAGATGGGCCGCTGCCCGCCATCTGCGTGAAGCAGCGAGAGCGTGACGCGCTTGGCGGCGTCGAGCGCCTCCCGGTCCACCTCGCCATCCATCAAGCTGAGCAACGCCACGGCCGCCCGGCCGAGAGTCGACGGCGGCATCGCGTAGCCCGTGTGTCCTGTCGCCCCGCCGCCAGCCCCGGCGACGCCAAATTCGCGCAACGCCTCGACGGCGGCAGCGCGCAACCCTGGGTGGCGGGAGGCGAGTCCCCGCAGCACCGCCTCGTGGATCGCCGGCGGCGACGCGGCGACGGCCGAGGGGAGCGTGCCACTCGGGAGCGAGAGGAGGAGCCGCTCGAAGCGCAGCTCCTCAGCGAGCAGCGCCTCGGCGGCGCCGCCGCTCCTGCCGTCGAGGGGGTGGGCACGGCGCGCAGCAGCGACGAGGACGCGGCAACGGAACAGCATCGCCGTGTGCTGCCCCCCTTTGTGCTGCGGCGGCTTGCCAGCGCCGGCCGCCGCGGAGAGCGAGGGCAGCAGCGACGCGGCGAGCGTGGTGGACAAGGCGGCGAGCCCCTGCGCCGCCCTCGCTGTGAGCGGCGGCGCGGGCGCGAGCGCGACGGCGGAGACGCCCGAGAGGGTTGCACCCGTCAGCGGCCTGAAGTCGCCCCCGAGCACCGCCGCCACGCGTGCGAGCGAGTGCAAAGCCCACTCCGAAGCGTGCCTGCCGCCGGCCGGGGGCGGCGAGGCAGTGGCGGTGGCGGTGGCGGCGGCTGGGGTCGGCAGTAAGCTGCAGAGGAGCTGCACGCCCGACCGCACGCGCCCAAACGCCGCGTGCTTGTCGGCGGCAGCGGCGGGCGCGGAGGAGGAGAGCAGGAGCCCGAGCGCGAGCGCGTGGCCGGCGCGGGCCTCCTCTTTTGCCTTCGTGTCCGTGAGGAGCTTGGCGGCGGCGGTCGAGAACGCGTCGGCGTAAGCTGCGCCGAGAAGCTGGCCGAGCAGCCCCACCGCCTGCGCGGCTCCACGGCGGACGGAGACGTCTGGCTCGGCGAGGCACGGCGCGAGGACGGCAGCAAAGGCGGGTGTGAGTTCGGGGCGAAGAGCGGAACGCGACGGCTTGGTGGCAAGGCGCTGCAGCGACCCGAGCAAAGCGGCGCAAATGTTGACCAACCCGGACGGCGCCTCGTCCTTGGCCGCGTCCGAGCCGCCGCCGCCGAAGAAGCCGCCACCCGTGCTCGGCTTGCTCTCCTTGGTGACGCGGGCCGCCGCGTTGCCCAAATGCCCGAGCAGCTGCTGCCGAACGTCGGAGGTCTGCAGCCGAAAGACGGCGCCGAAGAGGCCAACAGCGGCGTCGAGGCAAGCACCCTCGCTCGTCGCATGCGAGCCCCCACGTAGCTCAACCAGCCACTCGCACGAGCCCTCCGCCTGTTTGCAGACCGAAGCGTAAAGAATGCGGGGCTGTCAGCTCGAGCCGTCGCTCCCCTGCTTCGCCTCAGCGCACGTGGCGCCCCGGAGAGGCTCGCAGAGCAGTGACGCGACGGGCGCGTCGGGGGCGGTGGCGGGTGCGAGCACGGCGTCGGCGGGCGCGAGCATCGACGCGAGGGCGGTGCAAATGGCGCCATGCGTGTTGGCGGGCTCGACGATGTCGGCGACCACGAGCGGCATCACCACATTCAGCACCTACGCTCGGCCGCGGCGAAAGCTGTGGGATATCCTGCCCAAGGTGAGGCGCCTCCCCGAAGCCGCGCGCCTTGGCGGTGAGCGCAGAGGAGGGTAGAGCGAGTAGCACCTGCTCACAGTTGGAAACGTCCAGATGTGGTTTCCACACGACGCTGCTCGTGCCAGCAGCGCGAGCAGCACCTCGTAGAGCCGCGCGCGGAAGAGCATATAGGCGGCGCGGAAAGGCTCTGACATCAGGCGAGGCGCGTGCTCGCGGCAAGCGGCGAGGAGGGCGAGCGAGGGTGGGACAAAGGTCGAAGTGACCGGCTTGAGGAGGGGCAGCGCCGCCGACTCGGGCATGCGCTCGAGGAAGGCGCGCCTGATGAAAGGCCAAGGTGAGGAGAGGCTGCCACGCTCGCTACTGGGGCGCGCCGAGGGGGCGCACAGAGCGTGCAGCGCGTGCGCGCGCGCGTGCAGCTCGGCCTCGACCGCCTCGCGCCGCTTGGGGGTCACCTCGGGCGGCGGAGAGGCGAGAGCGCCCTTGAGCAGCGCGTAGAGCCGCGTGAGGCGAGGCTTGGCGGAGAGCCACTCGGTCGGGAGCGAGAGGAGGGCGCGCACGAGCATCCAGCCCGCCGCGCCGCCGGCGCCGCCCGCGGCAACGAGGTCGGCGGCGGCGTGCAACGCAGCGTTGGCGAGGGAGGACGGCCCCCCGTGCGGCGTGCGCGCCATCGCGCCGAGCAGCGTGCCCACAGCCTGCGCGTGCCCGAGTAGAGCGGCGG